AGAAGTGTTAGAACCTTTAGATAGGTAAAAGTACCGGCGGCAGTGGAAAAATACTCGAGCAGAAGTACAGAAGCATTGTCAGCAACATACTGTTTATCATAATAAATACAGAGTTTTACACCATATGCCATTCCTGACATAAACTAGGGAGTGTGAGGAGTATACCAGCTTGTGACTTCAGGAAACTTTCTCCTCCTAGTCTTGCTCATATGCATGTAAGGCAAGTGGGTTAACTACTGCACTAGCCACAAGCTACAACTCAAGAAGGTAAAGCACGTCATCTACTAATCAGATCATCAGTGGTTTAATTGCTGACACATGGGAACACTGAAGTGATCCCTATCCATAAACTGGAGTGTGAGTGGGTGCATGAATGTTAGACAAAGTGCATAAAGGGGATTTTTTTTTCCTTTCCACTGTTGCCAAATGCTTGCTCATAGGCATCGTGTAATTGTGAGAGTTTCTTTCTAATATTATAGAGTCTAATATTCTAATATTCTAGTCTTTACCTTACAATATAAAGGCGACTATTGATGAGAATTGGTGCTATATAAGTAAAACTGAATTGAATGGAATTAAATAGCCGTTAAATAAAAAGGTGTTTGTAGAGCACAAGCGGAGCTACTTCTTCCACATGCAGTGTGTTACTATAGTTCATGGGTCTCTTTCAGAGGAAGAAATTGAAAGTTTATGATGATGAACTTGACAGAAAGTGGGTTTTTTTTTTAGTAATTTCATAAGTTACTGGGTATTTACTCTTGAACAGTTCATTCAATATATCTGATTCCATGAAAAGGGGGAGGTCACTCAGATGAATATGCAACATCTGACATTGGCTTGTTTGGAAACTACCTGTTTAAGTCCTACATGGTGCTTTTGTTGTAAAAAATGTTTTCAATGTAAAATCTTAAGAATAACCAAATATATTAAATACATTCATAGTACAATAATAAAAAGTACAGTATTTTCTCTCAGTATCTCTGTACTCTGCAGTGTACTTCAGAACAGCATTTACATGTTTATTTTTAGCGCTTATTTCTCTACTGAGCAATTCAGTTGTTCCTTTCTGTCCTTTAGCCTGAAAAATATGGATTCAAATATCCGTCCTTGCTTTGTTTCCTTTATCTGAACCCAGCAAACCCATAGAAGCCTAAACATTTCTGGTTTTAGGTACTGATGTACAGCATCATCATTGTCTTGGCAGGTTTATTGGTTACATTGCATGCATGGCATGCATGGAAAAAGTCTCGCTGTAATCCAAGTTCTCATTGTTAGACAGAGGTGTGTTTGCCTGTGGTATTACAAAGATGCAGAAATGTGCAACGTGAACAGGAGATGTAAAGCAGACTGTAAATCTTCTCGTGAAATCATTATGGTTACTGTTTATGATGCATTTCTGTTTGCCAACATCTCAAGACAGACATTAAGGTCATGATAGGTGACAAGTACACAGACTACCAAGGGTAATAGGCTGCAGCTTGAGACTGTGAGTTTTGTTTGGTTTCACAGGAGCTTCCAGTTTCCTGGGAAAGTTGGCTTACTGACACAGTTTGACTCTGAATCCCCAGAAATATGAGTGAAATATTAAACAGAGCCTTGTTTGGTGATAAATTAGCAGCTGCTGGGCTTATCTTTATTCCACATCGTGACCAAGAACCCATTTATGTCCCTAAAGTTTAACTAAATGATAGCGCAATTGCTCAGATGTTGCGATTAGCTTGAAATTAGGTGCTCAGATGTGACACGGATTGTTAAGCCTCAACATTTTACTTCATGGCTTTTCCCCCCACAAATATGTGTTTGTTTTTCTCACCGCCTTTTGTGTGAGAGCGAGGCTGGCAATAGTCTGGATTGTGCTCTCAGTTTCCAGCTCTTTCACTACCCGACACATAAACTCAACAACGATGCTCTGTGTTTTTTGGTTTTTTTGTTTGTTTGTTTTGTTTTTTTTTACTTTCATCTTCTCTCATACACATGAACCTCTAAGTTCTGCTTCTGTTTTTCTCCCAGGGATCAAGAGACCAGCAGGAGGCTGAAAAATGTGAGTGTTTTTTTAAATTTTTTATTATTTTATATATTTTATTCATTTTCAGATATTTTACAACTGGCTTATAGAATCCCATAATAGTTTGTCATTATAAATATTTATTCCAATGCAAAGATAATGCCACATAGAGCTTTATTGCTCATATTTTTGGAAGGTTAGACAAAGGAGGAAGAAACTGAGAGACTCGCGTGATAATGCTTCACAGATTCACAATTTGAATGTATTGATTAGACATTTAAAGTCTTAACTCCACAGATCACAAGAATGCCATAACCTCCTACACTTAACCTCCTTTAATGAGGGTCATGCAAGGAGATAGATAAACCTCACCTCCTTATTTTATTTAGGTGCAATGCCGAAAAACAGCTGCTGCAATTTATTTGCATCTACAGAATAAATTGAGGAAAAAAATGACAAATGATCACCTCATAACTTTAAAATTTTAAATTCATTAAGAATTCATGTTCACTAGAGGATGTTTGCCCCTTTTTATGTAAAAAAAAAAAAGTCAACACCAACCGTGATAACTTTCTGACATAAAAAACCAAAGCGCTGACACGCCACTTTAAACGGTATCATGTGTAATGGGGTATAGCTTTGTTGGTTTACTGTTTGCCTTAGCGCACCAGTCTCCTGTCCAGCATATAAATGCACAGACAAACAACAACAGAGTATTCTGGATGAGCCTGGAAATTAGAGCATGGCTCTAGGTGATCTGACCCTCATCAAAGCAGGGCTGCAACTATCATAACAATCGACTGCTTTAGCACTGCACAGCACATTGATCTCTGACATTTGTACAGGTAAAGCTGTAGTGATAACCTGATGTATAGATATAGGTTTCTCATAAAAATAATGAAGGTATAATCTCTTTTGTTTTCTCTTTCCAGGTATTGATCACCATTTACTGGTTAGGTAGAAGAGCTCAGTGTGACTGCTTCTATGATGGACCTTACTTGAACTTCAAGGCATTTGAGGGTTTATTGGGCACAGCACTATACAAGGTAAATTCCCAGAAGTGTGTTCTCTCTATCTCATTCAGCTGAATTTCCTTGTGGACAGCAGAAATGGCAGGACTAGAAATCCTCTTCTATAGCCGCTGTCTTGTTACTGTATCCTCCCTGGTATGAAGACTATGAGGCAGAAGAATGACAGCAATAGGCCGAGGGGGACGCAGTGTGCTAGCCACGAAAACCAAAGCTACGTAGAGTCATAAAAGACCCGATCCCTTGACTCAACTATTTTAATGTTGTTTACAACATGCTGTTCGCATAGTTTTGCAAGTGAAAATAGCCACGTCTTTTCTTGAAGAAGCCTCGTTTCCGCCCGTGCCTGTGCCAGTGTTGAATTTGGCACTTTGCTTTCACATAGATTTATAGGTTGGTGTGCAAGACCTCTCCACCGATTTTCAGTAATAGCAGTGGGATGCAGCGTATTTTGTACGTTTAGCCACGATAATCCAAGTTCAGTGGCGCAGGGTTAGGCTGAGTTTGCTTTGCGGACTCGCATTGTCTGGTAGGATTTGGCAGATTACAGATGTGAAAATCATTTTCTCTTTAAAGTGGTTGACAAGTTTTTGCTCGTCTGGGGCTTGCTTATGCGTTTATGTGCGATGACATTCTTTTCACGCAGTAAACACAGCCGTCGAGGGCGTGCGAATCGTGACACTGTTTATTTTGACAAAGATGGGAGAGAAGAGAAAACAGTGAAGTTATCCCATTTAAATGGCACTCCTTTATATATGGTATGGAAGCGTATGCTTATAGTAACTTTGTCTGCGAGAATGAGAGGCCAGACAAAACAGACCACTCACTCTCTACCTGGGAGATCTCACCACACACACAGTGGAGATAAATATTGTAATTGGCACCCTATTATCTGAATGTTTTTGTGTGTGTGTGAAAGGCTCTGCAGGATTCTTCCAGTCAGAAAAGCAGCAACGTCCGAGACAGCGGTTTTGGAGACAATTGGTACTCTGAGCGAGAGGAGCTCTCCCATCTGAGAGGAGGAGGAGGAGGTGGTGGTGGTAGACACAGGAGGGACGACTCCCTGGACAGCTTGGATTCGTTGGGTTCCCGACCCCACAGCATCTCATCTGACACCACTCTTAAAGGCAGCAGCGAGGGTAGGAGACATCATTTCATTTCCATCCACATCTTGGTGACAAATTTCGTCTTTCTTTTTATCTTCCTAAAGCTGATTATTTGTCAGGACACAGCGTGACATTAGAGAGTGGTTCTCACGCTTTTCGCTTGTTTGTTCTCAAATTGTCTCTCTGCTTGAATATTTATAATCCAGCTCATCTGTGTAGAAACTCAAATATTTGTGAACAGGGAAGACACACTGCCTCAGAACCACAGAGTTGACACCCATTTGTGAAAACAAATGCCTATTGCCACCTAGTGGTATGCTTTTGAAAGTGAATACCAACATGTGATGATATTGACTTAAAGAAGGGGAAACTGCTGGCTGATGATCTCAGAGCAGTTCCTCCATGCACAGTGGAGGTCAGTGAGACATTCCACAGCCGTCCACACCGGCCTGTAAATGAGGAGGCCTCTGTCCCCACACCCTGCACCCCTCTGTTACTCATCCAAAGTCACGCCAAAACACACAATATACTCCTCTCGCTCTTTTCTCTGTTCTCCCATGTTCTTCCCCAGTCCTTACACCTGTTTTTCCTCTTTCATGGTCCAGGTTGTTGTAGCGATACCGAGGCAGACTCTGTCTTCAAGATGACCGAGAACAAGGACAATCTCAGCTACCGCCGGTCGGCAGTCGTCGCACCGAAAACCACCACGCAGTTTAACCAGTTCCTGCCCACTAAAGACAAAGCTTCTGGCTACGTGCCTGCTCCACTAAGGAAGAAACGGGCCGAACGTAATGAGGACAACCGGCGCAGCTGGGCCAGCAGCAGTTTCGCAGAGGATGAAAGCTCTCTCACCAGGTAGCACAACAATCCATGCACATTGTTCTGTTTGAAGGTGCTCTTTCTCATCTGAGCTGTTTTTTATTCCTCTTACAAAAGATATCTTGACTCCATGTTCGTGCTTCAAAGGCTTGAAGTTTACTCGGTAGCTCTTTGTTTCTCCTTTCTCATCGCTGTGTTGTCTATGAATGGCCGACGGTGTTGTCTCTCACTTTTGTTGTGGAATGACTGCCTTGGTGAAATAAGGGTGTCCCCTGGCTGCTATGGAGACAGTCAAGTATCCCAGAGTGCCTTCTCTGACGCGCATCTCCAGTGGGCCCGCGAGTATGAAAGTGGCAGTGACTCGGACACAGACCGACCGGACCCCGATCTCGTTCTGGATGACCTGGCCAGTAGGCGCTTCCACAGCCCCTCCCCTGCTCCTCCCACCAACTTCGCCTTACCCATCAGTCCTCAGGTTGGGGGACGGGTGGCTGGAGGCAGGGGGGACACCTTGCCCAAGGTCACTATAACTCCCACTGTTGTCCCTCAACAAAACGTGGCCTGCCTCAGGTCAGAGAACATGAAGCAACGGCGTGACTTAGATGTGCCTGCTTGATAAAAGCAAACAAGAATGCTTTTCTTACCCTCAGTTTGCATGGTTAGTTGTAACCATGAGCAGTGGCTTTTTGTCATAGTGTGCTGCCTCTAACAATTTTGCAGTTTTCAGTTTGGTGCTTTTGTTCAAAGAGCTTTGCGTTTTTAAAGATTTAGCATGCCGTCATTTGCTTCTTTTCAGCTTGGAGGAGTGATTTGAGTTGGCAGGACAAGTCCACAAATCAATTTTTGCCTCCCAGCTTGACGTTGAGCTTGCATTGGTTTGATATTCCTTGCGTCATTTCATTTGCGGTTGTTGTGATGGACAAATATACTCCTTTTTTTTTTTTTGGTGTGACCTGTGTGCCAAAAAATAAGGTTTTGACACTTGTGGTTGGCTGTCTCTCTTGAGCAGCAGCGGCATCAGCAGAGGGGAAATGCAACCCCCCCGGCACGGTTCAGTGAGGGTGGACCACCGCCGAGGCGTGTCCACTGACAGCTTGTTCAGGGAGATATATGACGACTCTGAGGATGAGGATGATGAGGTGGGCTATGCTGACCCTGTCCAAGATGATCTCTATGCCCGTAAGATGGGTATCAAACCTCTGCCTACAAGTAGTGCATCTTATGACAAGTTCTTACCCAAATTCTGGACACCAGAAGAAGACATTCACATTCAGAAGATCAAACTGGGCTCTCAGAGGAGACCCTGGTACAAGAAGATACAAGGCTTCAGGTGTGTGAGGCATACATTTATACTCATATATACACAATCCTTTCTTTATTCCTATCTATAGCTTGATTTTGCTGACCATAAATAACTGCATGCCAATCTAACCTTTCAGATTAGAAATCTGTGATTCTGTGGTTCACTGTTTTCCAGATTCCAGCCTATATTTCCTTTAACTTTTCCTACCGTTGTTTCTTCTCTAATTTCATCCACCTTTTGTCTTCCTCTGTCCTTTCTTCTTTCGTCGGCTGTAGCCATAAGAAGTCAGGCTCTTCGTCAGATGACTCAGACTGTGACATCAGCCCCTGGCTCTCCTCCGCCCCCTCTCCCTCTGGCCCATCTCCCTCTCATACCCGCACACACGAGGCTTCAGCTCACACCGCCCTTGTTGTGGGGAAAAGGTCGATACAGCTGCATGATTGTGATGATGCTGGAATATTTTAAAGCATCCAGATTTTTATAAGAAAATATAACTGACTCCTGTTGGGGCTCTGTTTCTGACGAGCTCCTGGAAAATAATACTAATGATAAAATGTATCCTCAGGCGACGGGAGCAGCCCTAACATGCTTTATAATGTAGTTTGCTTCCTCTGACCTTAGTGGAAATAGGCTGTGTCAATATTAATCTATTTATATTACAGCCTATTCAAGCCTAGACTTTTTCCTTTTTCTTTTTTCCTTTTTTTTTGTAGAAAGCAGCATTGCAGTTTGATTTCCTAACAGTGTGACTGTAAAATCCACATTTGATCAACTTCTGTTTGAATCAAATGTCACCACTGTGGCTGCTTGTTGTATCTTTTCCTCCTTTTCTTGCTCTTTGATCCGGTTCACACGCATGCACTCACCACCTCTCTGTCCTTTTCTCTCCTTCTGCCTACTCTGCAGTCCTCTTGTTCAACCACACACTCCTCCACAGCATCCCAAGTCCCCTCTCTTAGAGACCCCCCCACTGGTGTTTGCCCCTGTGGACCCCACCTCAGGTCCCAGACTGGTGAAAGGGGAGAAGTGGATGCTCCTGGGGCGCCAAGACCCCCGGGAGCCCCCGGACCCCATTGATTATGAAAGTATTTGCCCGGACTTGGAGAATGATGACATGTTTGCCAGGCGAACCCTTGCCTTCCAGTCCAACACAAACTTGGCTAAACTGAAGACTCTGCTGACTTGCAGACATCGCCGCTGCACCTCTGAGCCGCAGCTCAACATTGTCACCCAGAAACCCGTTCGTGGAGGCGCCGAGGAAACTGAGTTCCCAGACATTGAGCAGGACGATGTGGTGTTTCGTAGGGAGAAAACCCAGCAGGCACAGCAACAGCGACCACTCTCAGGAGCACCTGACAACTATGCCCCGATGCCCATCCCAGAGCCTTGGGCACTGCCTCCTGACCTCAAGTCCAGACTCCTCTGCCCCCCATGTCCCCTGACTCATAAAGCAGCAATACCGAACCTGAATGAAGTTGATAAGGAGACCCGTCCTGAAACGGATGACATGCTAATTCGAAAGTTCAGAATCTGTTCTGATCAGAGCCAGAGCTCCGCTTCATCAGCCAGTCAGAAAACCCCTTCAGTGCCTTCTTCCTGTAGCAAAGAGGACCTGCAGAAGTGGCAGGCAATCAGGGAAGCTAGTCAGTTAAGACATAAGAAAAGGCTTTTGGTGGAAAGGCTAGCTGCTCTGAAGCTGTAAAGGAAAAAAAAGATTGACGTAAGAGTGGCTGTAGACTTTTTTTCTGCATGTTTGTCTTGTTGTTTCTGTGCCATTTCAGACTTTCAGTAATTTTTGTTTGATACTGAATTGTTCTGTTCTGGCTGAGATTTGATTTAAAGTCCTTCACAGTCAGCGAGGCGAGTTTTACACAGTTAAATGCTTGTTTCTTGATCAGACATGGGTATTTCAAAGTAAGAGTGAAGAAAATGTGGTGAAATTAACCACAACAGCAGCTTAGAACTTGTTCTAAATGTTTGTTGTTCCCTCAGAGTTGAGTGCTTGATGTGGTCAATTTTACTTCTCAAACTCATGGCGTGTAAAGACTGAGACATTACCTGCACAATAAACCAACCAAGATTGTGTATTTTGAGTTGTGATGCATTGATTTTTTAAAAAACCATAATGATTTGGTGTATCATTTGCGAAACAGCCCTGAAAAGAAATCTGCCTTTCATCTTTTCTTATCTGACAGTTTACCTACATATGGGAATTAAAACATTCATGCTTAATAAAAGGAAAAAGCAACTTGTGAGTAACTGCGCTGATTCTTTTTTTAAACCCGCGAGTGCTCAAGCAGAGTAGAAAAGTGCAATATGGGAATTTAAAGTCCAACCTGACCTGAGCATAGTGTTGCTTTTACTCAGCACAAGGAACTTTATACAGGTCCGTGAAACTCAGAGAGCAGCAGAAAGGGTGGAAAGGTTGAATGCTGAGAAGTATCCAAACATAACATCCCCAACACTCTGACTGCACCAGTCCAACAAATTAAATATAGTCGTGTCTGTTGTGCCAACAAGAAGCACTATAGAAATTCCTCACAGCTCTGAAAGACGATGTGACTCATGCCCATAGTAACTTGAACACAAATCTTCACTGTACTGTTTGCACATGAGCGGACACACAAAAGCACACACACAGCAACCGTTTAACCTGAATTAAGCCCATTTGGATGGATGGATTTGGGGTCTGCAGAAAGCAGCCTTGTTTAGGGAAAGGTACACGTCTACACGCTTCCTCAGCCTAGTGTAACTCTAATCCTCTTGATATTAACAACAAAAACAAGCAGAGTCATGTCCTAGCTGGCCCTCTATACATTTGAAGCCCTCTTAGCTGTGAACGAGCTGGTGTGTAATAGCTTCTAATTGGTCTCAAGCTCTTGACCAAAGCACTCACTGACTCACTGTCAAACTGCAGTCGGTAGAAATGTGACTTTGTTGTCTGTGGCTTTTTTTCTGGTTTCCTAGAGAGCGCCAAGAGGGTACAGACGGGTGAGTTTCTAAAAACAAAACAAAAAAAGTGGCACGTTTGCATTTGCTCTGCCCTCTTATGGTCGCACGCTGCTGCCTCCTGCTTTTTGTGCTGCTGTTCTCACTCTCTAGCTGCTAAACGCTGACACACAACATTGGCTGTTTCACGGCTCAGAGCCAAGTTCAGGGTGAGGTGAGGGGAGGTGGGCTTTGCTCCACAAAGCTCTTTTGACACAGCTTACATATAATAGTAGTGGGTCCATGCCTAAACTGCAGTGTGTCCCAGTGAGAGTTATGACACACTGTATGTAAAACTTTACAGGTAGGTGAAGTTATTTAAGTTATTTCTCCATAAGGTGGGGCTTTAAAGACTTTTGCATGATGGGAAAGACTGTTACTAACCTGAGCTTATATCACCCTCAAGGTTTGGTGGTCAGCTGGTGTGCTGGGTTTGAATACTAACAAGTTACTGCAGATACCAAAAATATTAATGGCAGGTACCCAGTGGAACTGCAGTGTCTTCGTTATGTGTTTGTATTTACAGCTTAATTAACAGGATGGAAATACACTGGACTGTGCATGCATATCTGGAGTGGATTTCCACCTGTCAGCTAAACTTCTGATGCCTTTTGATCTTTGAAAAAAAAGTCTGCTTGATCTGCTTTTTCCCCCCGCAGGAGTAAATCAACAAGTGATGTGCACGTCGACCCCGCGGTCATCCGGCAGGTTCGCTACGAAGAGCTGCAGAAGTATCGTGAGAAGGTTAAACAGAGCGAGGATAAGTGGCAGGATGTGAGTACAATGTGCGCTGATATTTGAGGATATCTGTCAGCTGCCCACTCTTCTTGCTATATGATTCAAGACATGCCTGCTTGGGCAGAAAGAAGTTTGGTTGCAGCGCAGATGAGGCGAAAGATGAGTCACACAGATCTGTGAGATCCATGTGTGCTACTAGGCGAACAGGGGAGCAGGTGCTTTGGTGTGTTGGATAGCTGCAGGGTGGAAAAAAGAACAGTTTGGATTGAAATTGTAGGTGTTCAGATGTTAACTAGAGCAGCACTGCCCTCTGGCTATGGACCTGCATCATTAAAAATTGTTGCAAGAATCACTACATGCACGAAAAAAGTAGAAATAATGTGAAATGAAGGAATGATGTAAGGAAGACTTAGTCGATTAACTCTGAAATTAACTCTCAAGTTACAGTGAAAATGGAAAGTAAGCTCCAAATGGCAGTGCTGCAGTAAATTTAAACACTGCTGATCCATTGTGCATGTTCATTCTTAGCAATAAAAAGTTAATAGTAATAAAAAGTTATACACATATACACTACAGGACTGGGCTAGTGTGGTGTCATAGCAAAATAATGGAGTCTTAAAGCAGCATTTGGGTCACACAGCCCCCAATACACAGGGGAAGTGAGCCGGGAGGAGCCTAAAGCACACAAATAGAACACCTTCAAATGGAGCCCTTTCTCTTTTTTCACATCTTTTTCTCCCTCCTTCTCAACTTCACTGTCCTCAGTTGTCCACTTAGCTCTGCGCACACAATCAGTCTGCTTTATCTGCAGTACTTATAAATTGACTTTTTGAGATATGTTGCATGAGGTGATGAGGGCTTCTTCTTTGCACTGCAGGCCCTGAGCGACTGGAAGAGCCGACGTCGCAGTGTCAACTCTGATATAGTAAAGAAGAAGGAGGAAAGGGAGAAGATAGAGCAGATTACTTACGGCGGTGAGAAAAGGTCTAAGACCTTCAAGGAGATGCAAGAGGAGAGGTGAGGAAAAACACACAGGTCCAACAGACTTACTGCTGTAGTTGTTTTTCTACTTTTAATTTCTGGTGATTCTGGTTTTCCTAAAAAAGGAACACTCACTACATTTATTCCTCTTTTATACCCTTTCACCATCAGAGGGGAACCATTTGCTAAGGTAACCACATGAAAAAGTGTCTGTAATTAAGAGAGACTATGTGATTATTTGGGCAAGAGTGAATGAGGAGACCGTAATTGTGCACTGATTCACTGTGAAAGTGTTATCCAATCATGGCTTAGAACGTGCCGGTCATTTTATTTAAGTGCACATCGTTCTTGCCCTCTTATTTCTGCCCGTGCTCCGCTTTCTGCTGTCCTCGTTAACACTCCATGCCCCCACATTCATCGTTAACTTTATTCATCTAGTCCAATTTGTACCTATTTGCCTCTCATGTCCTCCCACCTTCTCTTCGTCTGTTCACTCCACAGAGAAGGTAAAAGAAAGAGCAGCGTTGGCAGCCGTCTTGGATCTCTCTCTTTTTTAGACGACGACGACGACAACGTATTTGAAAAACCCGTCATTGCCCCACGTACCCGAGCTCTTCCTAGCCGAAGCTACACAATTGACACTTCCCAATTTTCCTATGAACCCCCCAAGCCCTCTGTGAATGACAAAGAACCTCCCATCGCTTCCCCAGCTACCGGCAGGGCTGCTTCCCCTCCCACTTCACTTGAAGTCGTGGACAGTCCCGCACTAAGCAGCTCCATCACGAACACCATCACTCCGAACAACTACAGCTCATTCAACCGCTCCCCGTCTCCAGAAGCTGTACCTTTGCAGAGGAGTACAGACTCAGAGCGCGCCAGCACAGCCAAGAAGCAGGAGGCCCCAACTGTTGTCTCCTCTTCTAGCTCCCTACCAAAGGTGCCTGAGCCAAGCCCCGCATTGTCTGGCACACAGACTGAGGTGAAGCCCCCCTCTTCTGGTCCTTTGCACACACAAGCACAGCCCAGCTCAATGGAACCCAAGCCTCCCGCGGTGTCTCGGATTTCTTCCTCCCTGCCCAAGACCTACCAGAGATCGGATAGCGCACGTCTAACTTCAGTTGTCACACCAAGGCCCTTTGGGAGCCAGTCCTCACGCATCACATCTCTTCCCCGAGGCTTTACCGTGAGTACTAGATAGTTTTACAAGTAAACTACCAGCACAGCACAAGAACATCAAGAGGGCAGGATGTGGTTGTTTGGAAGTAAGAAATGTTTGGCAGGTAATTTGTTTTCACTACATCAGTATTGCCCAGGAGTCATATCTGATTACAGTGTGAATAATGGATGAAGCTGGTGGTTTTATTATGCTAACTCCACTACCAGAGCTGCTATTTTCAGACTATTCCACATTCATTACTAGTTACTCGTCAGGAAACTGTTTAACACATGTTTTAAAAAATAGCTGGTAACATAATTACCAGCTTTTTTAGGGTAAATTCTATCATTTTCTAATCAGCAGCCCTTTGCTGTTGAAGTTCATTTTACACTTTGTTGTAATTGAGCCTTAACGGCTGTGTTCTTTGCCACTCTACATGCAGCCCACACAGACAGACGACTCACACAAGCGCGTCAATGGCAACGTCGATGTTTCTAAGAAGTCATCAGTGCCGAGTCGGTACCATCAGTTCATGACCTCTGAGGACGAAGCTCAGTCTAGCTCAGCACACAGCAGTGAAGAGGAGGAGGAAGAGGCGACTACGGGGAATAGCGTCAACTCTGCTCAGAGCGTCACACCTGTACCTCCACAGGTCAAGAGTGAACCTCCTGCTCCAGCCAAAGAAACCAGCCAGGTACTCGAATCTCCTCCTGCTGACAAAGCAGTAAAGCTTTTTTTGTTTTCTGTTGGTTACAATGAAAAAGCCTGAACACGTTTCTTTTAGTGAATTTTTTAAATTTTCACAGTGTTATTAGTGTATCTTTAGCTTTGTGGTAAGTAGTCAGTAAAACTCAATGCATGAGCTCATTAGGAGTAGTGTAGTAGCTAAAGTATAGTAACAGGTTGGCATTTATTCAACAGCCATAAATGACTAATGAAAGGCTTCCCTGCCAAAGCAGGCCAACCCTGACAAGCATCTCCAGAGCAAATGGAAGTCAGCCCACATTTGTACTCTTAAAGTTCACCTCTACTCACCTGTGTCGTCTGGTTTCTAGGAGAACTACTGTGAGATGCGGATCAGCCTGAACCAGAAGCCCAACAGCAGCAGAGATTTCGGTTTCCAGGCAGCCTGGGACTCAACAGGAGCTTGTGTCACATCTATCCAGCCAGGTAGCACTTCACAGGAATACTTCTTTTTTTTTTAAGGATTTGTATTACGTAAGTAATATGTTTTTTTTCCACCATCCAACATAATGTGTGAAAGTCAGCCAAACTGACAGCATTCGCAGTAAATAGGCCCCGAAGAAAATAGATCAGACACACAATGCAAGTTTCTCACTCTCACTAGAACTGACTGATCTGTTCACAGATACAGTACAGTGGTAATATTGACAACCAGCGCTCCGGCTCTGTTACAGTTATCTGTCAGCCTCGGTCGGTTAGTTGTCAGCAGGTTTTTGAGTCCATTGCAGTGGCGATGCCTGACTCACTGTATGTAGGGCAGCTTCTATCTGGGTCAGATCTGCTGGGTCTGAGCCTCTCCTTCTACTGAGATTCCCCACCTGCACATCACAGCATGCCAAATAAATTAGTAAAGTAATACAAACAGCCCAAAGCAATACACGAATGTAGCCTTGTCATACCTGCTTACAGCTTATTTCACTGTATCTGCAGACTCTGTATGGCGTAGCGCTTGATCTTTCATTTTATTCTTATTACCGCTTACACTTGTAAATGTGCCAGTGTTAGCATGCTGACACTGGCATGCTGATAAAGTAAGTCGTTTATTAAAAAAATGCAGTTCAAGCACTCCATAAAACACTTTTAACTAAAATTTGACATTATGATCTTCATGAAGCTGGAATGTGTCTCCAGGACTTCTACTGAAAATACAGGCATGTTTTATATGGAGTGAAGAGTAAGTATGACTCTGTAGCTTTTACCTGTCAGACAAAATAGATAGTGTGTACCTACATTTACATGTTACATGTTAACTGGGAAGAATAATGCTCATATAACATTGAATTTTTTAACTGTGAGCTTTTTTTGTAGGGGGATAAAACAGGTGGGATGAAATCTTGTCTTCCAAAAGTCAGTTTTAGTGACATTACATTCCCAGTTTTATATAAGAAACACAAGTGAGAATTATGATGGTCAAAACAAGTGTGGAATCAAGTAAAATTTCAGCTTATGACTCTGACCTGTGCCCACTGTAGGCAGCCCGGCTGAGATGTGCCAGCTTCAGACTGGAGACAAGGTGCTGACGGTGAACGGGCACAAGGTGGCAGACATGAGCTACACCGAGTGGAAGTCCCACATGGATGAGGCTCTGCAGGAGGGCAGTCTGGTCATGGATATAAGGCGTCATGGGCAGAACAGTGAGTAGTCTAAACCCTGCCTGTTTTTGCTTGCGTGACAGCCAGAGAAGGACAGTGAAAAGTTTTTGAGGGCTGCATTCCTGGACTGGGAGCACTGCTTATGCTGCTTGGGTTGCTAAACAGTTTTGACACTCTAAATTGGTCTGTAGCCTGTTGTGAATTCATCCATAAATGAGCTCATGACAGGCTAAATGATGAAGGACTTGTGAGTTATCTTTGCTCATCTGGTGAAGAAAGACTGTTATTGTTTTGATTTCTGTGGGATTTTTTTTTTTGTTTAATTGCTTCCCTCTTCCCCCCTTATGTAGTTATTTCTTCTTTCTGCTCGCTATTCCACCCCAGTGTTTTTCCTTCTAGAGAACTAACCCAGCTCAGATCTACAGGCCTATAAGTGTGTGG